GATAATAAAGGCCCGTCATTTATTTATTTTTCATTTTGAAAGGAAAAACATATTTATAGAATTTTACATCTCTGGAGAAGAAAACAAAAAGAAGAATCAAGACTAAAAAACTTGTAACCCTTTTATCATTTGAATAACCAATAAGAACACACTTTTCAAATCTTTCAACAAATTTAGTGGTTAAATTTAATTTTATAGCAAAACACAAACAACCAAAAACTCTTAAATTCTCAAATTTTGGAAGACAATTATAGATCATTTCAAAAGGAGATTTCCCTTTTAGAACAAGAGTGGGAAGCCTATTTATTAAAAAACTGCATTTAATACTATCTCACCCCAAAATTTGAGAGGTAAACTAGATTGAAATAAAAGAGACCTTGCAACATTTAAAATATGTCTATGCTTTCTCTCCACAACACCGTTTTGTTGTAGAGTGTACGCACAAGAAGTTTGGTGAGAAATACCATTTTTAACAAAACAAATCCTTAAATTGATGATTAACAAACTCAGTACCATTATCATACTTAACAATCTTAACATTAGAATTGAAGTGATTCTTCAAAACATTATAAAACATAGTAAACCAATAGAAAACCTCGATTTTAGATTTTAACAAATACACCCATACTCTCTAGCGAAGTCATCCACAATAGTCAAGAAATATTTAAAACCATCCATGGTAGCAATTCTATAGGGACCCCAAACAACTAAATGAACTAAGTCTTCTAAAGCAACACTTTTATGTTCACTTATTTGAAAAGAGTTCCTAGACTGCTTAGCTTTATAACAAACATCACAAGGAGGAAGAGACGCAGACCCAAAAGTAAGAACATTTAAAGACCGGATAGTTGGATGTCCCCGTCTGTTTTGCCAGGTAAATTTAGAGACACATGTTCCTTTATTTAGAGAGGTTATCCTACCTGAAGTATGAGATTCTTCAAGATAGTACAGCCCCCCCAGACTCATTACCATCCCACAATCACCTTGGACTGTGATCCTGAACAACATAGTTAACTTCATCAAAAACAACTTGACGTTTATTATCTTTACATAATTTGTGAACCAAAAGTAAGTTAACATTAATGAGATTCAAAAAATACGTGTCATATTTGTTGTAACCTCACTAGTACTTTGTTTCTCATTTATGAGATTCAAAAACTTTGAGTATTGATCACTTGTAAGAAAAAACTTGTAGTTAGATTTCACATCAGACACAGGAATCTACAAAGTTAGAAGTAACAGAATTATTACCAAAGAAAGACTTATTAAAATTTTGATTTTCATTTCTAAACTTAAAATCCTTGGGAAATTTAATGAGCTTATAACATCTCGCAATGGTATGTCCCTTTAAACCACAATTTTTGCACTGTAATTTGTATTATTATGAAACTTGTTTCTTTTCTGATCATTAAATTTTCCAACAAAGGTAGAAGCATGGGGCTTTGTGGAAGTTTGAGCAACGAAACCACACTTTTGATGTGATTCCTCATGAGAGACAATGGAAAAAAGCAGTTTTAATAGAAAGAAGTGGTTTCATTAGTAAAATATGACTTTTAACTTAACTAAATGTATCATCTAAGCAAGATAAAAACAACATAAGTTTCATTAAATTTGAATGGTTGTTAAACTAGGCAGAGGCTTCACATGTATACTCAGCCAAATTAACAAGCCCACCAAACTCTTTCCACAAAGCATCAAGTTTACTATAATATTCAGACACAGACAAACCACTTTGTGTAAGGGAATTAATTCTTGGTGAATATTAAAAACAACTGAACCATCAGATTTGTGATAAATATCATTTAGTTCAGACCAAATATCAGAAGCAATCTCAGCACAAGCAAAATTAGCATATAAGGACTTAGAAATTGACCCTAAAATCCATGAGCACAAAACAGCATTTACACGTTCAATTTATGAATTTTAGTTTCATCAACAGTTGGTTTAGGATAAGTTTTATCTACAAAACCTAGCTTATTTCTACATTTTAGAGCCCTAGTCATAAAACTTCGCCATATTCTAAAGTTCTCGGTGCCAGACAGTTTAAAAGTAATAATAGAAACAACACCATTATCAAATGGATGTAAGAACAGAGGATGATCAAAATCATAATGATCTGGACTCTTTGTTCCAGATCCAGATCCCAGATCAGGAGTTGGAGTTTTCCAATCATGATTAATACAACCTATGTGATAACCACACTGAATTCCCTTGGCAACACCGACATCTGTGCTAAACCAGAATCTAACCACCTTTCAAAGGGAAGACAAGCTAATACAGACAGAGGACCAACAGCCTTATGTTATCAATAAGTTGTAGAAACCACAACAACAAAAAACAATATAACAGACAAACGCCCAAGAAAGGAATAACCTGAACAAACAAGAGAAGAAACGTGCGAAACTTACAGTACTCCACAAATACGCTTTGCAACACAGCAAAGTAGATTACCGTTACATCTATCAAGATCAATAGACTTAACACCAAACAGAAAACAACATTCAAATTCCGTGAAACACCAAAACCACTCAGATTGCACCGTTTGTGCTCTTGAGGTTGGTCGTAGGCTTAACGTTGGCCGTTAGAAGTAACAAGACATTAGATCTAACGTTTACTCTCAAGTAGACGTTTACTTCCATGCAACGACAATGTTTGAGATGAAGTTCATCAAACGGAAACCGATTAGCAATCAACAACTCCGATTTACCAAGCAAAAAAAACATCAACAAGAAACACAATCGGAACGTAGATCGAGTAACAAACCCGATGAACAAAAGAAAACCCTAACTCGAAGGAAGAAGAAAACCCTAACTCGAATTAGACACAATTGGATGAACATAAAACGACGTAGGACTTAAACATGCTCCAATACCAAGTTCAAAAACCCAAACTACTCACAACATCAACAGATCTCTTAATAATGGAAATCAAGATCCAGTTGGTTTTCATATACTTGCAAAATAAAATCTCACTACAAAAAACACTCTCACTCGAACGAAATACAAAAAACAGAAGATCAAGACACCTTACAACTCTAAGATCAACAACACAAGATTTACAGACGAAAAACCTAAAGTTTGGTGAGAGATACAAGAGGAAAAACAAGAGCAAATTCAAGAGTGTAGTATGTGTTACAAGGCACATAGCTTCCATTCAACATTATATACACCGGATCAAGTAGAGGAAAAACGAGAGCAAATTCAGATCAAGTACGGATTAACCCAGTACCAAGCCCTTAACCACACCCAGATTAAGGTCCGCGTGTTTATGTAGTTTCACAAATAGTGAACCGCAACCCCTGTAGAAAACAAACATAACACAAAACAACCCTACACTAGAACGACTCATAAATATAGTTTAATAAATTACATTTCATACCCTGAAATAAATAAAACTTACAATGTGAATCTTGCACAAAATTCTTTAATATTTTAACAGTAAATAAAGAGCTGGATGAATAATTATGGGTAGTAAAATATAAAGGAATGGTATTAAAATTATCCATGCAAATTGCAATGCGGGTACAATTTGTGGGGTTGGTTGGTTCGACTTCCAGGTCTAATCAACAAACTGCAGGCAGGGGAGGGGCAGGGTTTTGAAAGTTCATTATTAAAGTTTGAAGGACCGGACCTCTGATCATGCATTCAGGCTGACACTAACTGAAAAGTTCATTATCATTATTATTGTTATATTTTTTATACAAAACAAGAAACAGAAAAGAGTATAACTGAATCATGAATCATGTTCTAGTTTCTCACCAGATTGTTGTTAGTAATAGATGTATGATTGTATGAACTTCACAATTAGTAGCAATAAAAGACTAATAGGCAGGTCGGCAGGACTGAGTTGGGGTGGGGTCTATATATAAATGGCAACAAGCAACCTAATTAATTAAGTTGCAGGCTTTCATACATCCTTGCTATGCAATATGCATTGCATGTTTTGTTTTCAACCTCAATTACTCTTACATAACTTACATTACTGGTCCAGTTCTGTTCTGGTCAACCCCATCGCCATTAGTTGACCAACTCCAAAGTACCTAGACCCACCTAACATGAAGTATTTATTAATACATGATGCTAATTAGTTGCATACACGATTGTGATCTCCTGTATCAGAAACTTACAACTTTCTAGGATTTATTCTGGGGGTATAAAACTACTGTAATTACTTCTCTAATATAACATTACCATTCCATAGCACAAAGGTACTATACCATTAACTCTCAAAAATAATAAAATCATAAATCATTCACCAACTTAATGAATATGCCCAACAGACTTACATTCATAAGCGTCCAATAACTCTACTGTACATACACAAAAACAACGTATATAAATCTTTTCTTTAAAACTCATAATCATTATATCATCTACACTATCAACTCAACTTCATATGCATACTTCCTTCAAACATATATCCCTCAAAAATTATAATAATTCTCACACAAATTTCTCCACTTACTTACAAATCCTAAATCAAAAAATATACACGATAACACAACACTAACAAACAAATATTCAATACACCTATGCGCTTAGATTCACACACACACACACATCCATATGAGGGAGTGTGTGCGTGTGTGTGTTGAACAAAGCCATCTGCAAACGGGTAGGTGCACAATTTAAAGCAAAACTCTTATACTTGATAAAATCCCCAAAACCAAAAATATACATATATACCATTGCTAATCTCGCCCACACTCGATTTCATAAAGAAAGACTTTGTCATTCTCCTCCTAAGAGCTCCAATTCAAACATACACACACATGAGAATCTGTAATAGAAGAGAAGAAAATTTCAAGGGAATTACTTCTTTAGAAAGCCTTAATGAACAATTAATAAAAAGTAACCTATTAGCACAAGTTAAAATAGAGATCCTAACAAAACAAAATATTATCAAGACTGTATGGAAATACAATGAAATTAAACCTAATTAAAGTTGTTACCCAAGCAAACCAAAGTTAGATACACGAGCATCCGACGTTAAATCCACAATTACACAGGAGGAACCTTAATGGGTTCATGGTGAGACTCATCAACGAAGATGACAGGTTTTGTGAGCATGAGCGGACGATCTTTTGCCTCTTCTTCATCGTCTCCTTCGTCAAAATCGTCATGAGAGGTGCTGAGATTGATGCATGAACAGCGTTCGAGTGAGGTGAAAAACGCCGACGCAACGCTATTTCCAACCCAATTAGCCATCCGATCAATCTTGTCACAAGATATCATCCCACATGCGTTATGCTCCATCACGACCTGATTTGATTCCATTTATTGGATTTTTAGATTCAATTCAGAAGTTTGGATTTGGGTAGGCGAGTTGGAGGTGGAGGTGGAGGTGGAGGTGAGGAGACGCGTATTTGTATTCGTATGAAGGTTTGGGGGATGCCTTGGTGTTTGAGTAAAGATTCTACAATTATGTTGATTGTGATGCCTCTCTACTACTTATATCTTTTGTTGGTCGTGTCCGACCTTAAACGCTTAAAAATGATCGACTTGTTTTGACTTTTGATAGATCGAGTGTTGATTTCTATTATTTTTAGAGATTTTAATAAAAGTTGCTATGATTCTAAGGGCTAGTGTAACGTGATAAAAGTTCTAAAGTTTTCATGAAATTATGAGTTTTATTTTTTAGTGTGTTTTGAATTTATTAAAGCCTAATGTCTGGTTTAATTTTTACAGTTATGCTATTTGAACAAGTTTTCCGATCACCTACCGGTTACAAGGACAAGGACAGGTGACACGCCAATATCATTGAGACTTGAGAGCTTACGTAGTTACGTACGTATAACTATCCTTCAATGTCTTAAAGCTAAGAAAATGTTCAGACTTCAAAAGTCGTTGGTGATCCTTGCCCACTTCCTCTCATTCCTCTCTTCTACCGTCGGTCTAGTCTACCACCTTTTCTCTACTCGGCCAATCACCACCTCTGACCTCCTAGTCCACTACATTTTCTCTACCATCGGTCTAGTCTACCACCTTTTCTTTATTCAGCCAGTCACCACCTCTCATTCCTCTCTTTTACCGTCGATCTAGTCCACCACCTTTTCTCTACTCGGCCGGTCACCACCTCGGTCTAGTCCACCACCTTTTCTCTACTCGGCCGGTCACCACCTCGGTCTAGTCCACCATCTTTTCTCTACTCGGCCAATCGCCACCTCGGTCTAGTCCACAATCTTTTCTCTACTCCGCCAGTCACCATCTAAACCCTAAACCATAAACCTTTTTTTGTAACGGAGAACCTATTATCGGAAAAGAGATTAAGAATTAGGGTTGAAAATGATTTCAACCTCTCTCCCCACCATCGTCGGCACCCACTCTTACCCACCATCTTTCACTCTCTTTTTCTTTCTCCCGATGTCGGTAACCTCGTCAATCTATATGTTTTATACGTTTTAATCGTTGTTTCATTATTATTTTTATTTTAAATTATATTTTTATTTTATCAAATCCAAATGCCCCGCAATCAACGATCAAAATTGGTTTGTTAATGGATATAAGACAATGTAAAGTTGGAAAAAAAAGTATTGTAAAATATATTTTTTAGGTTGGAAAAAAACTTATGAAAAAATCTTATAAATCACTATAACAAAGCCTTAAAAGGTTTTAGAAAAATAAATTTGTAAAAAAATAAATTAATTAATTAAAAAACTAAATTTAAGACGAATTCGTAAAAAAATTTTAAATTCAGACTAAGTTTGTAACAAAATTTAAAATCTAAGCCAAAAATATAAATTTTGAAAGAGATGGTAACCTCTTTAACCATAACATGATCTAGCAAGTAACCATAAAAAAACATGAGTTTGTTACTATTTTAAAACATAAAATCGCTACTTTATCAACTTTAATGTATTTTGAAAAGTCAGTTTCCAAAAATTAGTGATAGCCATTTTATAAATATACGAGCATCAACAAGTATGGACAAAGTTTAAAATCCCACAAATTAATTTAAAGTACATCAAAAAAAATCATTTTCAAGTCACAAAGAAATTTGGTATATATATTTGTATTAATATGTAGTTTACAATAATAATCAAAATGAATGTATACCACAAAACTATACAAGGATTCGAGTCGGACATTGTTATCCACCTCTTTATTCCTTATTGAGTTTAGTTGGTCCTGAAATGCACAACAACAAGTAACGATTAAATTATGCAAGATTAGTGAGCAACTCAACCACCATACACATATAATATCGTCATACAAAAACAATTTATATCAACAATAAATAATCATAAAGATTAAATCAACATAAACACATATATAATCACATAAGCCTTTCATAATCCACTCGGAACCAAATTACTTTCCAAGACATTTCAAGTTCCATCAATCTTTTCATTTCCGTACATTCCACATGGTTTTTAGCAACCAATGCTTTCCATGGTTATCTAGATAGAAATTATGGTTCTTAGCAATTATTGCTTACCAAGTCTACCAAAGATTTTCAGTCGCGGTTCTTAAGCCACCGAGGCTTACCTTGACCCTAATAAAGGTTTCTAGCCATGGTTCTCAGTCATCAAGGCTTAACACAATCCATAACTTCGGTCCAATCCATATGTTTCACAAAAATTCAATAAAAATACATAATTTGACAATCAAATTTCAATAATGGAACATGGTTACTCATCTTATTGGCCTTAGTCAATGCTTTTATGGTTCTAACATTCCTTATTGATTTTCCACATTTAAGGAATACCCCTAAAATACATGGTATTAACACATATTCCATGTATTAGGCATTTAAAGCTACATGTTTCTTACAAACCATCTACTTAAGCCCCATACACACTTTTATATCTTATATAACTTTGTTACGATTATAGTCAATTACATATTTAGTCCATGAAATATTTTTATTAACCATATCTAGTTAGTTTTTTACTAAAATAATGGCTTACAATAACGTTGTATTCATTCCATGCCATTTTTCAATTCTTACACAATTGGTTACCAAAGTTTCTTAAGGGGTTTAAGCGTAAAGATCTGAAATTCAGATCTTTAGGATAATTATCAAACTTATGGATAATTACTTAGTGACCAAGTAATTATCACATAAGGGTTCCTAAACATCCCCTATATATAAATAAAGGTGCTTGCTACTGATTTCTTAAATAGGTTTTGATTGATCTAAACCCTAAAATCGGATATCCTTTCCCCACTCTTGAAAACTCTTACATCCTCGATTACGCGACATGTGGATTCAATGGTCGCGGAGCGTAGCGCGTGCAAATTACCTACATGGTGTGTGTAGCTTACATACGCAATGCGTTGGTGACGGCAGGAGTTCTGGTTTGAACTCTTAACAATCATTTCTCCATCAAGAGCTTAGAATTCTTTCAAATGACTACAAGGGTATATATTTTTTATTCTTCTTTCTTTTGTGTTGCATTAGATCGGCTTGAACATGGATCCGACTATGGGGTTCATGAGTTCTTTGTTTATATTTTGATATATTCTCCCGTTGCGCCTTTGTGGCCTTTTGATCCTCATAACCCAACACATATTTTTTGTAATCATATAATAACTTACCAAATACCAATCCATACTTATTATTGATCTCACATGATCACAACTTGACTACGTTATTACCGCGTCTCGGTTACAACTTCATAGGCACTTAGAATGTACCATCACAACTTCTATTTTTAAGCACATTACATTTAATCGTTAACTTGAACAACAACGTGTTTCTTATATTATACCTAACATTTGATTAAAACTACCAGATTACATTCCCTTACTTGAGAATTCCAACATGGCATCTTCGTATACATATAGATATCATATAATATATGGGAGTGTAGAATGCATTTCCCCCGCTTACTTCTATGTATAATGAATATGTTTATTTTCACAATATCTAAGTAGTTTAAACGTCTAAATTGGCGTTACCGATTAGATTATCTGCAGGGGATATAACACAATACTCTTATTCTTCTTCAAATTCCCAGTTACTTCTTTTAACGGTCATCTTTACAGCTTATTTTAGTTGCATAGACGTATCAATCGCTTATCTAATCTGATAGACTATTCTTTCAACTCACAAAATTTGTTTTGTATATCATAAAAAACATAATGTCATATACCTCAAACTTACTACATCACATACCAGTAGGGTTTGCCAACATGGAGCACCATATTTCTTACTACTTCTAGCATCCGATGATATACAAGTGTCATCTAGACACACTCTTCCTATTTCTTAATATCCATATGTCCTCTTGTTAAGGAATCATACATTAAACTCTCATGTTCCTTCATTATACGACTTGGGTATTCATTTAGAACTCGTTTAAGCTCTTCTTATTATAGACTGCAATAGTCTACATCAGGAATTTATTCACCATTCTCATGGTTAATCTAGTTGCCAATATAACTGTACACACTCATTGTACCAATTATGGTGACACGTATTTAGGGAACCATAACATATAATATAGAACATTACGTCAAAATACATTCCTTTCCATCGGCCACATGCACATGCCTCTAGCCAAAATATATCAATGCATAAACCACGAGTCTAGTACGCTCCACCATATACAATCTGTCTACCCCTATTCCCATTAATTATGGCACCCTAACACACATACTCATATGATAGGATTACAACAACACATACACTTCCTTGGTTAGGTTATGGAATTATGTCATCTTCTCTTCCACCTAAATGTTTGCACACCCTTTAGGTATTTTCTCATATTCTATTTATCTCTTGAAAGTTCTAGTCTCTTATCCAATGTAATGATGTGAATAAAGTTGATCAACCATCTTTATATATATATATATATATATATATAATTCTCATTTTGATTGACCTTATTTTTGTTACTAATGAGCCAATCATCTTTCAACAACATCATTATTACATCAAATAATGTAGTGACTTCTAATTTGTCTTGCTAATTTCCCGATTTCTTCTATAATTCTATAAACCAATTTGAAGATTTAATTATTTAAAATCCTTGTCTCTTTCGACTTTCATATAACAACCCATAAATTATGGATTATGTTGCTGGTTGTCATGATTATGTTGCTAGTTGTCATGATTATGTTGCTAATTGTCACCCACTGCCCTAAGGTAAGTTTATGGATTATGTTGTTTAGTGTTTATAAGCTGAAATTGTGATTCAAAAAAATTGCATATAAATAAAAAAGTCATTTTCCAGTTGAAATTTTTACCAATAACCTTACCCGTTTAATTTTCATATCATGTCATGTCTATAAACTAATGACCAATAAAGACAAAATACAGTTAGGTTTCA